TGCACTAAATGGAATGGGTCCACATCCCATCGTTCGGACGCCAGCTTGTTAATATGTTTTCAAATAAAAGAAGAAACAGAGGAATGAAAAGGAAGGAAGCAGCCCGAGGGAGGTCCCATGAAGAAAAGCAGCAGGGGTTGAACTGGTGAGAAGTTTAAATACACAAAGACCAAGATTCATTTCTTCACCTCTGGGGTTTTTAGGCTGTCGGAGGATTTAGAATCTGAGTTGACTGGGTCAAGAATGTTTCTGAGCCGTGTTTAGAATATTGTTCCTACAATGTGTTTGTTAGTGCAAAGCACAACTGAAGAATGTAAGTTTGTTGAGACAAAGAGACAGACATTTTTGACTTGTCCTATTAGGAAATAGCAGCCCATTGGTAATCTAACCCACATTTCCAAACTCACATACACCACACACACATACACACACACACACACACGCACAAGCAAACACACACACTATTCTCCCTTGACTTGAGCTCAACTGTTCCCAGATCATGTGCATGTATTTCTGTTCTCTTTAATGTCTTCTTCGACTTATTTTGCATTGTTGGAAACGTGTCTGCCCATATGTTTACCCTAACACGTGCATGCATGTATACATGTTTTGCAGCAAAGACACGTGAGCAACACACATGTAGTCAGGTTAAACCTTTATCTGTGTATCTGCACAGCCATCCCGCAATTGCTTTTAACAGCGTGCATCCCATGCCTCAGGGGGGCTATATCGCCGTGTGGTCTTTGGCAAATTCTGTGTTTTCTTACTGTCGTCAGTGAGGCATGCGAGCAGTCTATACACATAAGCACGCACGCACACACACAAATACACACACCAGGGTTATTTTTAGAAAAGACTCAGACTTTTTTTATGCTCCACTGGCCATTGCCAGGCAGTCTGGGTGTGTGTGCATGGTGCGTCTAAGTCTCTTTTGTGTTCGGGGTGCCCGAAGGGGGGTCTGGCAGCCAGAAAGAAGAGAGGAAGAGAAACACAAAAACTTGAGAATAAACCTGTAATTCTACAATGTTATGGGATTTTTATTTTATTTTAACAAGAATACTCAACTGCACACATGCAGTGACTTTCCTGTACAATTTGATGCCAATCTAAGACAGCCTTGTACACATGGAGCCTGATGAAATGAATATGATGTATTTCAAAAAAAGCTCCTATTACTGAGAAAAAGTTTAATATTTTTAGTATGACTCATGTAAGGGCTTTCGCTGATTTGATTTGTCAAAGCCCTTACTCACTCCTCCCAGGTAGGATTTAATCATTGTGTTCCTGTAAATTGCAACATCAACCTCATGAATGGGAATTAAAAGGAAGCTCAATTACCATATTTTATTCTATATGAATTCATGGTGTTGTAATTCGTAGAGAACTCCACCTCCCTTTTAACTGACTTCCCACTGACAAAATGCAGAACGTGTATCTTGATTTATGGCTCTGCTGTGGGGCGCAGACAGGAGATTTGGCACCGTGTGTGTGCATGAATAACAGGGAGACAGGAGGTGAAAAGTTGGGATACCATCTACATTACTCTTCTACCGCTTCTGCAGATGTGGTCAGCAGTGGATGTGTGTTGATTCATTTGAACAGTATGCATACATTTCTATGAAAAATCACAGTTTTAACAAGAAAAGCAGACACATTTCCCCGTGTGTGTATCCATGTTGATCTCATCCAGCTGGAACATAGCAGTCGAGTGTGAATGAGCATCCAGTCCTTACATGCAGACAGCCAGTTGAACAACGGCAGATCCGACAAACAGGCGATCCTCTTCTGATCTCCAACGGCTATAATTTGTTCTCCTTATACCCCTGAATAATCCTGTCCTGGGGGGGCTACATGAGGACAAATGTCCTTGGAGAGGGCAAAGTCTGCGCCGTTTTCCAACCGGTTTCTGTGTTTTCAGGGGAAAGCCTGGCTGACAGCTCCACAGGGACTGGGACTCCTCTGTTGTGCTGTTCCCTCTGAGATTAGTGAACAGAATTTTTGAAGTTTTTGATGTCTCTCATGATCCTCAGTGACTTAATCCCTGCTCATGCGACCGCATGTAGCTGCTTTTGGAGGGATTATTTAGATACATGTACTCCTAGAGCTGGATAATTTATATCCAATATCTTATTGAAGAGTGAAATGAACAACTCATGCCTCTACCTGTGTGACCATCATATCCACATTACTAGTGGTCTTCTCTCAAACATTTCTTTTGTGTGAATAATGTCAGGCACCAGATTTCATCCCATTTTCACTATCTTTGGTTAAAAAATATCATATTTTGTCAATATTATCTGAGGAATTAACTTAATCAACAAAGAAATGCGAATAGTCAGGGAAAAATAACATCCCTCCCCACACACACACATGCATAGTTTGACAGGTCTTTATAGACATCAAACAGCAGCTCTAAATATATTTTGTTCCTGCTCTTAGCTTGTACTTATTTTTAGACAGCTCCTACATAACATACACTCACTCACCTTTCACACTCAACTGTGACTTCGGTCAGAAAGCGTTGCAATCTGCATCTCAGTTGGAGGGTGGAATTATGAAAGGATGTAGCAGAGAGATGCCCCACTGCAATTGTTAGGGGAAAAAAAGACTCTCACAGACAGTAGTAATTGTTCTATTATCTAGTTATCATATAATAAGGATGCTACAATCAACAGAATCAAAAGCCACACAGGTCAAAGTGCATTAACACAATGTGCTCTCCCACATCAGCACTGAACAAGATCTAATTCACAACCCTGACGTGTGTTTCAGTGTTTCAGCTGACAGGAAAACCTGAGGGGAATTTATAAAAAATATTCTTATTACAACCTTGTCAAAAAAAATTATAAATGAAAGTTAACTGTGAAATCAGCTTATATTCGCTGAGATCAGAGGGATAACTGCCAGGGTGCTTGAGTGAAGGCTGAATACACATGATCTTAAATATTCACAGCCAGATAAAATAGCCAACTTTATAATATCATAAAACTGACTATTGTAAATAGCTAAGAATTAAAAAAGAAAATGGCTTAGGATTTAGCTGCATCGAGGAGGTTGATTTTCTATTCTGAATTATAATAAATGAAAGATGAAACAAATCACAGCTAATACAGAGAACCACTAAATAATTAATGTTTCATGTCTCATAAAGCAATTTCATCTAATGGTTTAATCTCCTCTGTTCTTTGCAGTTGTAAGTCACTTGAATATCTTAATACAAGGGATTTATCAACAAGGTTCTACAACAATACAAAAGCACAATGGGATATGACTTTGGGCAGCTGGTGCATGTAGGGTAGTTCAACACAGATGGATGCATAATGCAGGAAATGTTTGCTCATGAAGCTCAATGTTAGTCCCACATCCACAATGTGTACGCACACATTCTTACTGTATGCAGGCATTACCTGCATTACTGTATGCATTTTTAGCCTCTAACTGTAGTGGCCTTGAAAGCTCAATGCAATGCAAATAGACAGACACACAAACAAAATGAACATATCTTTACCAATTTGGCAACACGGGCACAACATTTAGAAAAAAAAATGCGGAAAACAACCAAATACAGAAATGCGCAACAAATACGGAACAGAGCTGCAAAGGCAGAAAAAAGAAAATGTGTTTTCTTAAGTTGCAGTGCTTTGAGCTCTGAGGGCCACCATGTCTAACCCTTGCTATCACCATCACAACAACAGTATATAACCAGCCCTATATGCTCAGTATTCCAACCTTATACGGGTACTCCACCCAAAGTCCATCTTTTGAATCAACACTCACCCGCTGTGGGCTTGAAACGTGACAGTACAAAGTCTGTAGCTTCCTCGCTGATGGAGAGCAGCAGCTGTGGTCAGTTTGAAATCGGGCAGTTACCGTATATTCAAATGGTAAGAAAGTGTTAATGGCAGAAAGAAAATGTGTGGAATAAGTAAATATGGAAAGCTTTGCTATTGTACTCCTGGAGGAAGTCGGATCTTTGGGGTTTGAGAGATTTGTAGAGATGTTTTGAACGTCTTTTCCACCATAAAATCTTGTCACCTTTGGAATCCACTGGAACTGACTGAATTCGAGCTGCTGTTCTCTCTCAGTGAGGAAACTACAAACTCTACTGCCAACTTTTAAAACCTAGGCTGAGCATTTTGGGATAGTGTAACACTTAAACCTCACAACAACTCGTTGAGTAAGTGAAGGCCAGCCAAAAATGTCCTCAATTTGCCAAAAATATCCTCACAAGGCTGAAACTCAAATTGGGTCCCACAAAGACATTAAGCACACCACCACCATGTGTTACCAGCTGTGGCCAGTATCTAGCTCAGATTCAAATGTGTGTTCCTGTATTACAATGGGTCATTATTTACAGCCTCTCTCTCTCTCTCTCTCTCTCTCTCACACATACATACACACACACATACATACATACACACAAACACACACACACGCACACAATGGGGCAGCTTCGGGCCATCAGATTAGTGAAGATTGACCCCTTCCCCACCCTGAAGCAACTTCCTTTTCTTGTCTGAACCAATCAAAACGAGGGGTTGGCAGAAAGTGTAATGTGAAACCGGGGTCTATGCTCAACACTTCAAACCTAGGGCACAGTTGGAGGCCAACAGAAACAACAGCCGTAGACCTTCACACTCTCTCACTCTCACAGATTTTTCCTTACTTTGTTATACCCTGACAGACACTGTTTACAAACACAATCTGCTTCATGTACACTCCGTTTATTCGGCAAGACACAGACACACACCTCAGAGGGCTTTGCCATGTGGGACTTACACTGTGGACTGCTGCTATGGATTAACCATTTTGGTGACAGGCTGTGTGTGTTACAGACTGGAGTAGTCTCAGTCTAGAGTAACTGGACCTAGCCACTCAAGGTTGTCATTGCCTATTGGAGCTAGTTAAAGCTAGCCACCGTATCTGCATGAGGCTACAGGACCCTCTTTCTGTGTGGAGGGTGGATGATGCAGTGTGTACTCTCCTTCCTCTCCCCTCAGCTGAGCTCCGGATCCCCCTGTAGCTGCGAGGTCGGCCCCGAAGGGACAAAGAAAAAGAAATCCAAGAACCTGTAAGTACTCAAGTCTCAAATTATTATTATTTTGTTGTTGTTGTTGTTGTTGTTGTGTGTTTGCTCTTTGTGGTCATCCTCACTTTTACCATCTGCTCATTTTGAAAGTTGTAAGCAAAGACCAGCATGTTGAAGCTTTGACTTGTAGATTTAAAATAAAAAGAGGATTTATAGTTAGTGTGTAAGAAAAATGAGGCATGAGAATGACAGTGAATGAGAAGCAATATAATGTTTAATCTTTCATAGTCCTGACAACTACAATGGGATTTACCGCCTCTGTGTTCAGTGTTAGGTCATCAGCCTTTTATTTTCATGCTATTTTAATCAACATGTGTTACAGTTTTCACACCTGCTTTAACATCCATTATTTTTAGAGGATGTTATTACTTGTGTCCAAACTAATGGTGAACGATAATGACCTGTTATATAGCAGCCCATGGGGGGTTAATTGAGATACTAGGACCTATTCTGACAACGTGTTAGCATGAGTGTGATTGGATTAGCGGCTGGAAGATGTTAGGACATGTCCACAGTAGGATGGCTAAATATAAAACCTCTCCTTTTTGTGTTCATTTAGATTAATTTAGGGGGATTGAAAATAGGTTTCAAAATTAGGTTTGTGACTGTGCCCCCTAATGCAAAGTGTTTTGGCTACTTTGATATCCTGTGCGACGCCTACACGTTCACAAAGCTGCAAAATGCAGAAGCATGTTTCATGCTAAAGGTGGCTAATCATTTAACGCTGACCATAATTTACATAATGAAGTGGTAAATGATGTGTGTGCTGCTGAGGAGTGTGGAACCATATGGGTCTCTCACATTTTCAGTGGTGTGAGAAGTAAGGTGTGTGTGTGTGTGTGCGTGTGTGTGTTGAGAGTGTTTGTTTGAGTGTGTTTGTGTGTGTCAGATGTGTGTGTGTGTGTGTGTTGAGAGTGTTTGTTTGAGTGTGGGTGTGTGTGCGTCAGATGTGTGTGTCGACGCCTCAGTAATTCATCAGCTGTTGAGTGAACTTTATTCACGCTCCTGTTCATCAAGATGAAAGAACATTTCACACCTTGAGGACAATAAAACCACTCACAGTGGCTGTCCTTGGGTCTGATAGCTGCCCATTCTTCTGCACAAGCTGTGTTTAAGGTTGTTTAGTTAACCAGCAGATTAAGTGATTAAGATTCCACAGTTTTTTTTTTTTTTATTTAACCAGAGTCCCGAGTATGTTGCGTTTTTTGTCAGCTGCTGCAAACACCCTCAACCCCATTCTCCTTGCTTTAATAAAACAGACACTTCAAAGAGTACAGAACTGATTTTTAGGGATAAGAAATGTGTTCTACTTTGCTTTTAAATCTAGTGTGCAGGCTTGTTTTAATCAGTTTGCAGAAATGAAAGACATATTTCCAAATCAGTATTTAATTTGCAATCAGTTTTGAACAAGGAATTGTGATGAATTGTGTTGCGTACACTTCATTATAGCAACATCAAACAGGATTTGCTGAGTTGATTCGTTAGTTCTCATACCACTTTCATGAAGAAGGAATCCTTTGATTCTATTCAACCAAAGACGTGATACGCAGAATAAGTGATGCAGTAATGACTCCATGTGATGTGTGCCTGACAGTTTCTCCCACACATGCAACTCAGCTCCACAGTGTTTGTTGACATAGGTCATGGTTAGCAAACAGTGATTTGTTTCCTAGCAGGCGGTAGACAAACATGCATCATGATGTTAGCTCATCTACTATTATACATCACTCTGTTGAGTTGAGGATTCCCTTTTTTGGTCAAAACCAGAACACTATCATTTAATTAAATTTTTTGAATAGTCATAATAAGTTGAAGTGTCCAAATGTAAACAACAGCTTGTGCCAGTCAAATTATTTTTTATCAAACTCATAGATTTGCTTCTACTTCTCAGACAATTTTCTTTTAAGTAGATGTGAGATAAGACACAGAAGCTAGATCTAAAAATGTACTGGGTTTTGGATGCTGTTCAAGTTCTTTTCTTCTTTATATCCCAGTGTAGATGCTTGAAATACTGCCAGATCTTATTTCATGACTTAGTGAGTCTGTTAGACTGTGTACACATTTTATTATGGTGGACTAGTCTCTACTTTTCCCTTGTTCCAGTGCTAGATGGTGATTGGTTGCTAAGTAAACATGTAATTGCCTTGCCAGGTGCAATGCCAATTACCTTAAATTGGTTCATCTGGGTTTTTTTTCTTTGCTATTTAAGAGGCATCTGGACTGCTTTGTTGTGACATTGATGAAGGCTGCATGGAAGAAAACAGTTTGTCTTCAGTAGATAAAATGACTTCCTGTTGTTGACGCAACCCTCTTCTGTCAACATTAGTCAATATAAAAAGGATAACCCTCTAACCCCTCTGAGCATGGTGGAAACTCTACATGTTTACACACTTGGCTTCTGTACTTGTTACTGTACTAATCCTTGTTTCAGTTCAATTCTCAACATCATGAGCCTGAAGTCACTTATGAAGCTTTCTTCATTGCCATTTTTTTTTATTATGCCACACTGCAAACCTATACCAGGGCCAATAATCTACTCCATCATATTAAGTCACAGAAATAAACACACTCTCAACACAATATCTTTCTAACTCAGGGGAATACAAATGCAATATGTTGCTGCTATCCTATATAACCAAGCATGAAGGAAATTACATTTTTTCTTCCAGATGTTGGTAGACTGATCTATAACATATAGAGAGAGCCAATGGAGCAAGTATATGTACATCTGTAGGACAGAATCATGCTGAGTTAAAGACTTTTGGCCATGTGGTTTTTGGAGGATTGTATCCAGTAGTAGCACTGGATTTGATTTTCTTTACTCTAAATGCCTCACCATTTTGTACATGGTGTGCTGTGTGTTTTTAACCTTTTTGTGTAGTAAAGTTGATATCGATGAACACATGCACCCGAATAGATGTAGATTTCAGCTCAACTTAGAATCAAATTCTTTACTTCTTAGGTTTGGGAATGTGGAATCATTTGATGAAGGGAGGTTGTTTTCTTGTGATAGACACATTCATTTGGTCCTGTGCAGGGGTGGAGATGGTCATCCTGATGGATTACTCCATGTTTTTGTCTCACACTTTTTTGGAGTGGTCTCAGTCTGGCAATTAGTATCACTATAAACAATCTTCTTCTCGCCTTAATCAACATAGTCACCATTGAATTAAACAAATCTCAATACACAACACCAACAGCCATTGTAGCAGAAGAAAATAAATTGCATTTTTGCACAAAGAAGTGTAGTGGTACTTGCATGTAAAAGCACGTTACATCTGTCCTCTTTGAATCCTCCTCTCTCCACTGTTACAAAGCACTTGGCCACAGCACAGTGAATTCATTGTTTCTCCTTCACTCATGCATCATTTACAACAACACAGACGGTCTGATCCTTGACTTCCTAAGCATTTTTTCCTCTTCCTTTACTCCTTTTTCCCTACGATCTGTACATTTTCTCACTTCCAGCACATCTTTTCTCTCTTTTCCTCATCTCTATTTTGTTCACTTTGCTCCCTGTGTCCCTTTTGTCTGGATCCAGCACAGCTGTTTTTCCTGGGATTGTCCACATTATCTCTGCCTCCCCCCTTCATTATCACCTTTTGTCTTTACTCAGTCCAGGTGTTCTGCTTCCCAAAGCAATGAATCCCTGCACAGCCACACTCCCTTTTTTTCCCCCCATCCGGCAGTTTCCGACAAGTCGCAATAAAGCAATGAACTAATCACAGTAATTTGTGCAGAAATGTGAGCTTTTTGACAGAATAATCTGAGTTCATGAAGATGATGATACCCAATGGCAAACTTTAATTTTGGGTGTATTTTACTACCAATACCTTGGAGATTAGAACTGATATCCAACTTCAGTTCATGAAGGCAGTAAATATAGGCAGATGGGGAGGGCAGAGAAGAGCAGAGCAAAGTGCTAAATGCAAAGTGTTTATTACAAACACATTGGAAATTACCATTTGATGTTTCTGTTCCTCTGTCTGACATCCAGTATCAATGGTTGTACTGTACATCCTGTATATACTTATTCTTGTCGGTAGTGATGGATGGAAAGTGTTGTTTCTCACATAATACTGATTCTGTGCCATCTCTAGTAGCAGTTCCCAGGCAAATAATTAACATCTTTTTGGCGCTTTGCTGTCAAGGTGCATCTAATGCCCTCCTTTGTGCTGTGAAACTTGGCATAGGTGAATGTCATTTGTCCAGTTAGACATGATGTGCAATGACCCTGTTGTAAAATCAGTGTTGAGATTATGTGAGCCACTTCAAGCAGTTATGTCTGTGTGTCATCCCAGTTATATGACACACATCTAGAAATACTTAAATAAAGTTACCAGGACTTACTGACAATGGAATTTTTCCATCCCCTATTTAAAAGTGTATAATAAAGACTAAGAAAAAAAAACACCTGGAAATCAAGGTGTGGACATCCCATGGTTTAAATGACTGGCACTTCCTATCAGTTTGTTAAACTGATGAAGCCTCGATGCTCTGGATACCTGCAGTTTTGGTTTTGATTTCTGGTTGGACCGTCAGATTTCAGCTGTTGTCAGCACCACCACAGTGCTTAATGTATTTATTGTACATGATCAGGCGATTAAGTGTTTTAAAAGAGTCTTCAATTGATATAGCATTGCGTTTGTCCAACACTGTTGAAGTGCACACATTTGATCTTTTTGTCAAAACTTATCACCTCCATTACACAGTAATGGGACAGTGATAGAGGTCTTCTAATGCCATGCCCCCGGATTTTTTAAATGTTCAAACGTCTTCAGCCCCAACTGGCTCTTGCTCAAGTGACATTACTTGAGGCAGTTAATCAGACTTTGCACAGCTTCCTCTGGAGCCACAGAAGGCTTTATACAACTTTTTTTCCCACATATGCAGTAATACTGTCCTACATGTGTAAACAGAGGTTCCCTCAGTAACTGTGTTTACATTCTTTCATTTACTTTGTTGTATAGAGCAATTGTAGG